GATTACACTCTTATTTTTAAATTCCTTGTCGCAATTCACCACTGCTCGATGGAGTACACTCTTATAACGATCATTACTAACAACCTGAACAAAATTTTTAAAAAAAAAAAAAAGTTTTTTCCAATAAGACAAAGTAAACTAGAACTTGCCCTGGGTAAACAGAAAAGTAAATGGTGCTACCTGGTACTATTTCTTGATTCATAGTTGACTACAACCATGAAAAGTGACGGTCCAATGCAACGTACCTGATACGTCTTACGTGGTCATTTACGTCGAAAAGGTATCATTTCAGAACAAAGCACATTACTCTTAATGATACTAAGGATGCACATAAGGTGCAGTCTACAGGAAATTAAACATATGACTCTGATACCAAGTTGACAGGACCCGACTCAAATTTCACTTTGGAATCTGCGTCGAACCTCGTGCGTGTCCGACATAATTCACCATTTTCAAACCACTGAATATATATATATATATATATCAGAAAGGTTTTACCAAGAGGATATGAAAGATAGAGATACCCAAGAAGAATAAAGATACTCAGGAGGACATGGAAGATACCTGTAACGCAGCTTCAGTGAACAGATTTGAGAGAGCCCCTCTTGCTGAGACAACTCCAGAAAACTTGAGGAACGGCTGCAAGGATTGGAGAGTGCGATATGAGCTTCGTAGGGTTTGATCGAGAAAAAGATGGGATATAGCGTGTCATTTGTTAAAATAGATAAGGGCAGTATAGGCATTTTGAAAGTTTCATTAAAGCCTCCGCATGCTTCTCATGACAGCAGATTTCAGAAGCAGCTCCCCATCTGCTTCTGTTTTTCAGCTTTGAATGACAGCAACTTATTAAATAAGCAGCTTGGATTTGATTTACCAAACACCCAAATCCCCAAAACTTTTTTTTAAAGTTGCTTATTTTTTAAGTTAAGCAACCCCAAACCAAGCCTTGATGCCACTAAATCCAACAGCAGTTGGCAAGGCCATGATGATGAGTTCTTTCTTGCTATGCTTTTTCACTCTCAACAACGATTACTTTTTTATTGTATGAAATTGCATTGCATTGTGTTAAAAAGAGTGTCAATTCCACATCGGGGAATTAAAGTCTTAGGAAGCACCAATTGTTTAAAAGATCTTTAGCATTTCCATCAATCACCAATTGATTTTGAGTTATATATTCACATTCTAATAATATATTGTAACAATTTTTTTACAAACTAAAGTCTAACATGTCATTGCCACCTCCTACATGTTCTACACCTGCAAATTAATAATTCAATCAAGACTTCAATGAAAATAGAGCATATATATATCTAGAGGAAGATCGGCCTTGAATGTCTATAAGATGAGTAGAGTTACCGCATGACTAATTTTTTTTTAAATTTTAATATTAACAATTGTTCTTCATGAAATTCGAACTTAAAACTTCTTCAAACCTACATGAAAATTAAGCGACACTATACCAAATGATGATTGACGATACCCTAGTATTGTTAATTATAGGTCATGACTTTGTATTTATTTATTTGGTTGTGATATACATACAAACTCAATTCAAGCAAGAATTGAATGTCTGAGAAAACAAACCAGAGCTGTCTTGAATCTGTTACCCATAAAGATTGGAGGCCCAAACAGAATCAATGCCATGACAAGGGCCTAATGAAGCACCATTCATTGTCACAAAGTAGTTGGACACAGCACAAGGTCAAGGCTAGCTTCGCATGGAGCCTCTTAAGAGAGTTGGGCATTATCAACGAGGGTTGGTTGAGTTGGTAAGAATCATTATCTTCGCTATCCAAGTTTAGGTTTGAGTCATGCTGCCAACAATCCATCTTGATAGGTAATCTGTAAAAATCAAAAAAGGGGCTAAGATCCCCTTTGTAAGCCCTCAAAGAGTCCTTGATATGTCTTGACCCTGGGATGGGATAGCCTCCCATCCCCTAAACTTTTCTGTACCCAATAAAACAAAAACAAAAACAAAAGAGCTTGGTATTAATTGGACCATCTTTGGCTATGATATCAAAGATGCCAATCTCCTCATTGATCAAAACAGAATGAAAGATTTGTTCTACTGGATAGTTGATCTCTTTCATATTGTCTTCTCTAACCACAAACCAAGGGTAATTAATTAAATTAAAGGGGATTCTGAATAACTAATCGATTTGACTCAACATTCACCTCTAGAAACTGCCCTTTTATTTTCATTATCAAACAAAAATAAAAAGGTGTCAAATTTTCTTTTACCTGTTTTCCTATAGTCACAACAATCTCATTCTGTTCTCTTATATCTGTCACAAACCTTAACACCAGCAATTACCACCTATAATTAGTCAAACCATGGACCTCATTTTCGACTGAGGAGAACGACCACATCTTTTAAAAGGCTGAAGGACTGTGATCTTACTACTTGATTATTTATAAACAGATAACCAATGAGTCTTATCTCCATGCTCTGCAGCACTTATTATCACATAAAATATGATATCCTTATGTTTATTCCTCATCAAGTGGCTCTGCACATGGTCTTTTACTATGATGTATTAATCCCAACTTTAACCCTACATATCATGTATTAATCCTTGTACAAATAGGACTCCTTTTGCTCAATTGTTTAATCTGCCCTTACACTCTGTATGAGCAACAAGGTGAGTTGTAAATGGACTCTACTTCTGCATTTGAGTTTATTCCACGCCCTCATTTATGCTTACAAATCAATCCCAAAGTGGCAGTCTTTAAACTAGATTATAAAGAAGAATCAAAGAAAACCCATTTAAGCCAATACCAAATTGAATTCATATACAGAGCAATTTTACATATAATCCATCAAACTATAAATTAGAGAAATGTACCTCGTCGTTCCCATTTGGTTGCTTATGAAACCAATTCATGTTCAGCACCTAAACGAACCCAACAAGCAAAATCAAACATAAAATCGAACTGGGTATTCTAATTCAAACTTTTTAAATCCTAGATCTACCAAAGAAAAGAGAAAGGACCTGGACTTGGGAAGTGGGAGTGGGGTGGTTGAGATTATCAGAGATAGAGGCCATGGCACGCATGAGGGCTAAAATTATGACTGCGAAGGTTAGCCAAGCATTGGCTCTGTACCCAGATTTCCAAGTGGGGCTGGAGGAGAGGAACTTGTAGTTGATTAAGTTGTCGTCATGTGAGGAAGGAGGTGAGTATAATTGACCTATAAAAAATAAAAAATACTTACCATGACTCAAATAAAAAACTGGAGGCCTTACCATGACTCAAATAAAAAATAAAAAAAATTGCGAGACTTGAGAAAGATCAATACAAACCAGAAGGGATGGAGAATGAGTGGGAAGAGGCTTGAATCTACGAAGCCATAAATATAAAAATATAAAATATAAAATAAAAAATTAGCCCTGTCTTCTACATAAAACCCCTCAAAACTTCACCTACAACACCAAATTGTTCACATACCCGCACACCCAATACCCCTTTCCCAAAAAGGAAAGCGATAGATCCAGATTGGTAGCCACTCATGACAGTTTTCATGTCAGAAAAATTTCTGAAGGGGAGAAGAGTAATTCTTTGTTAGAAATGGAAGCAAGGAAATGGGCAGTAGATTGAAAGATAGATGAGAAGAGAGGGATGTAGTTCATGGAGATTGAAAAGTCCACTGGAAGAGTAAGGTGGGAATTGATGTGAAGAAGGTGAAGGAAATGAGGACGATGAAGGGGAGAGAATCTGGGAGTTTTTGGTTTGTAAGATTTTGAGGTGGAAATTTCAAGAAAGAATTAATAGAAGGAAGAAAGATACAGACATGTGGGAGAAGGGGAAAGATAAGGGGTTTGATATTTCCCCCATTTCTACTGAAGATTTTAGGGTTTCTTTGGTAAAAGTGGAGGAAGGAAGGAAAAAAGGCGCGATTGGAAAAGGGGCCGCAGGACATGTGGCCTAAGGGGTAAGTGCAGCGTACCCATTTCTACGTTAAGCTTGCTTTTTCTCTTTAGCCGTTCAAATGACTTTGGATGGCTGAGATTGATCCTCATATAGTGTTCTCATTTTAGTGTTCTCACCTGATCCGAGTGGTTCTAGCTATGTTAATGTGTTTGAATATTTAATGAAGGGAGTTAAGGGAGTTTGCCTTGACCTTGACCCCCCCCCCACCCCAACCCCCCCCCCACCAAAAAAAAAAAAGTCTTGGATATATCGGAAAGGTGATGAATTTGAAAATGATCAATTTTGGGTCTCTTGTCTTTCTACATGTCAGTTGAAATATTTGCAGTTAGCAGGGAGGTTTTCTTTGGGATATATAACAGGCTAGTGCTGAAGCTGGCTCTTTTATTCGTAATATATAGCTCTTTCGTAGGAATTTGGATTTATGAGTCTAATGAAAAATCATCATTTTCCCCTTTAAAAAAAAATTCATTCAAATGGTAATTGACATAAATTTAGGGATTTGTTTGATAGTTTTTTTTCTCATTAAAATAGAAAAAAGTCATGTTTGTAATTTTTTACACTCACCTATGCTTCTTATGTGTTTTCGATAAAAAAATTGCTTCTTATGTGTTTATCTCCTAATATTTTTACCCAACTAATTTTTATTTTAACATTTGATTTATTGGTTACTTGATTTTTAAATTTTTTGAATAATAATGTCCTTATTTCTTGATTTATTAAAAACAGCATATCAATTTTTTTTTTATTTTTTATGAATGATAATATAGTTATTAATTTTCTAACTTACCTATTATTTTTATGGATAATAATATACCTATTATCTTTTATGAATAATAATTTATGAGTGCTGCTATTTCCACCCACATGTCCTATACTCCCACCGAGTCCGGTTTTCCTGTTACCAAAGTTCCTGTGCCCCCATGTTTCCTCCTTAGTTTTGTGACATGTGGCACACAACTTAACAGGAGTTTAACTCAGTTAAGTCTCTTTTAGTATTTTTTTTCTTTAATTAAAACAATTAAAATATATTATATTAGAATACACGTTTGACAAAAACATTTTGCAGGCCGCTTCATCTTCTACGCTACACTTCAACCCCTACGTCTTCTCTGCACTGCAAAACTCAGCCAGTTCATCTTCTCCGCTCTACAAAACTCAACCCCTGCATATGATTTGTTTTTCTAGTTCGCTCGTCGGCTGATGGTTCATCAGGTAAGCACGCTATGCTCTTCATGTTTTTTTCTTTTGTTTTTTGATTGCTGGTTTTTGAGCATCGTACGCAAAACTCAGCCGCTTCATCTTGGGTATATAATTATCAAATAAATTGCGTAATGGGTATATAATTATCAAAACTCAGCCCCTGCATATATTTCACTCGTTGACCACTGGTTCGTGAGGTAAGCCAGGCTCTACTTCATAATTTTTCCCCCCTTTTTGGTTGCTGGTGTTGGAGCCATCGCATAAGAAGCTTTTAAACGATTAATTTGCGATAATTATATATCCATTATGCAATTCATTTGGTTTCAATACTTTTTTTCCAGAAAAAGAGAAGGAAGGAGGTTGATCGCTGAAGCATACCTCCAGCATTTGGTTCATCAGAAGTTAATTCCCATCCTGCCTTTTTAAATTGATCCTATTTTCAAGCTTTGTCTATGGACACTTGGCTACAAAGGCAATTCTGGGAATTTTTGGGTGTCCAGAGACGTTTTTCGGGTGTGAATCAAAAGCTAATCACCCTTATATACGTAGGGATGAATGCTTTATTGGGTATCCACAGATACACTATTTAATGAATGCTTTATTGGGTACTAATAATTTGGAATCTGTTAAATGGTGAAATGGTTAAGAGTGGTGATTTGATGGGGATGCTGTCCTGAAATTACCCACAGAGTATACTTGGATATTGATATTGAGGGACAGCACTTAGGTACAGCTTCATGTCAATACTATTACATGAACTACTACAGGCCAAAAGTTAACAAAGAGGAAGCTCACAGCCCAGATGATGTTCTAGTGAAAAAGGTGCAAAGAAGAAGGGATCAAATTCTGATTCAGGAAAAGAAGGTGCAAAGAAGAAGGGATCAAATTCTGGTGAAAAAGGTTCTAGTGGTAGTCAAAGTAGTGAAGGTGGGCATGGTAGGCAAGGAGTGAACATTGAGAAGCAACCATTGCTGAGGTTCGTAGTGATGGGAAGGAAATCCTGTACAATAAAAATTATGTATTATTTTTCCTCTAAAATCTTTTCTATATGACCCAAAATTCTATGAAGTTTGTATGAGGTTCTGCATTATTAACATCATTGTGCATTCTTCATCATGTTCTGACATGGAGAGAGCTTATTTGAAAGTATGCAGCATGATTAATGACTTCGTGGCTCGAAATGCAAGTAATATTTTCATTGAATATAATACTTCAACACCTTAAGAAGGCAGATATGCCAAATATCAGAATAAGTTCAAATGCAAAGACAGGACAAACATAACAAACATTCTAAATCAAAACAGAGTTCTAACTGAAATATACTCAATCAAGAAAATAATTATGATTAAGAAAAGTTTTAACTAAATGCAATGAAGTACTTGCAACAAGTTGACCATGCTAACTGGAAATTCCATGCTTAAATTATTGACAGCAACAAGTTCCTACAATTTTTTGGGTTCAACCAATACCGTAAGAAAAATACAATGAAGCTACAGGGAAATAAACAAAAAAAGATGAAATTAATAACGAATTTATACAATACCTGTGAAAATTCTGATAGAGGTGTTGGAACAACTTTTGTAGTAGGAACACATATTGAATCAACACTGCTTGAATGTTGCAATTCTGTTTTTCGAGTTCTTCTCTTCTTTGTCAGCTTCTCCAAAGCATTTTTTGGCCTTTTAGAACTACCAACAACTCTTTCTTTAATTTTGATTCCTCTAACTTTAATAATATCATCATCAACATTAATACACTCATTTAACTCAGATCTACTATTCATTACTGGTGAGATCACTTCAAACGTTTCTTGACTTGATTTTTCTTTCAAACATGCATCCACCTCATAAAAAGTCTGGTTCAATTGTTGTATAACAATTTCATACGCCTTACCACACCCTGCTGCCCTTGTTGCTAATTGAGTATGCAACCGACACAACTCTCTATAACGTCTTACAATTTCTAGCTTAGGGTCATTTGTACTTGAAGAGGAATTAATTTTTGCACTCATAGCCTTCACATTTTTTGTCCATCTCTTCAAGATGTATTGAGCTGGGATACTTTTAACATTTCTTGTAGAAAGAACCTTCAAGGCATGTGCACATAATATTCCTGCAAACTCAAACTTCTTACAACTGCATAAAGTTACATTATTTGTTGAGTCAAATGTAACTGTATGTTTCCAATTCTTCCCATACGGGATAACTTCATACTTGCTAATTGTTCCCATCTCATCATTGAAGTGCAAAGCACAATCATAAGCCTTACATAGCTCATCTTGAAACACTTTAAACACTTTCGGTGTATACACATTTGCTGCATGCTTCAATATTTCTACAGGAAATGATAATGTTGGGGAACTTTGACTTGCTTTAAATTCAGCTTTCAACTCTTCGTAACGACGATCTTCAACCAACCTTTGGAAGTGTTGAAAAAATCTGAGCAAGTCATATTTGTAACTAACATATTTTTTTATACAACTATTCATGCTTTCACTCCGCTGGGTAGTAGTAATATCTGCACAAAAAGTTTGTCGCCCATAAACTAACGCCCATTTCTCCCTTATTTTAAACAAGCGACTCAACCAATCATTGCCCACAAGAGTATATTTTTCAAGCATACTATTCCAAGCATTTAGAAAATCACCTTCATCCTCATAATCATATATGCAACTACTAAAATCTTTGCTAAAATCTTTGAACTTCTCAAAAACACCGCTAAGGTGTTTGGCTGCATTCTGATATATGTGCCAAATACATAAACGATGAGATGTTTCTGGCCATTTTAAAGCTAATGCTGTAGACATTGCAGCATCTTGGTCTGTAAGAATGCTCTTTGGCTTTTTTCCAGACATAGCCTTCACAAAAGTATCAAACAACCACGTAAAAGTTTGAATTGTCTCATCATATAATAATGCAGCACCAAATATAATAGTTTGCTTATGGTGGTTGACACCAACAAACATTGCGAAAGCTCTTCCTTCTTTATTTTTTCTATAGGTAGTGTCAAAACATACTACATCACCAAAATAATCATAATCTACCATCATCCTCGCATCAGCCCAAAAAATATTAGTGATCAAATCATCTTCATCCACTTGCACTACTAGATTTTTGTATTTGCGCGACGAAGGAGTTTTGGTCGCTCAAAGTACATTTGTGTCGCACAAATAGTAATGCGACAGAATATTCGTCGCGCAAAATATGTCGCGCAAAGATAGTAAAGATACACTTTGCGCGACGAACATATTAAAATTGACGCGCAAAATGAGCGACGGTAAACCTTCGTTGCACACTATTTCGCGGGACGATGAGATTTTTCGTCGGTCAAAGTTTTGCGCGACGAATATATGTTCGTTGCATTAACATAGCGCGAGGAATCATAAGCGTCGCGCTAAAGTACAGGGACGAGAGCATATTCGTGTCGAAAATATTTGCGCGACGAAATATTGTCGTTGTAAGGACACTGCGCGACGACTACCATGCGTGGCGCCGGTACTGTGCCACGAGTGTGTTCGTGATTAAAATATTTGCGCAACGAAATAGTTTTGTCGCATGTACTTAGAGAGACAACTTATTTCGTCGCGCAAAATAAAATAAATTCTTTAAAATTTATTTTTACGGTTGTGTATTTTGAAAAACAATTTGCGCGATGGAAACCGTCGTCGCGCTAAAGCAGAGGGACGAGAGTATATTCGTGTCTAGAATATTTTCGCGACGAAATATAGTCGTTGTAAGGACACTGCGCGACGAGTAACGTTCGTGGCGCAGGTATTGTGCGACTAGTGGATTCGTGTTTAAAATATTTGCGCGATGAAATATTTTTGTCGCATTTACTTAGAGAGACAAATTATTTCGTCGCGCAAAATAAAATAAATTCTTTAAAATTTATTTTTACGGTTGTGTATTTTCAAAAAAAATTTGCGCGACGGAAACTTTCGTCGCGTAAAAAATAAATATATTAATTTTAATTTAAAATTAAATTGAATTATTTTGGTAAAAAAAAAAATAATGAAATGAAATTGCAATTAGAAAAAGGTAATAAAGAGAAATATGTAAAATGTTATAACATAATGTATTTAGTACAATAGAAATATTTAAAATGTAATTAAGAATGTTAAAATCTAATCAAACAACCCTCCAAGATCTACATTGTCGTCTGGCAAATGCAGCTCGGAGGTCTGGACATTGTTGACAGGGGGAGAGGTGTGGTTGCCATGCTCGGAGGTCGACGGGGGAGTAAAAGGCGGGATTGAAATGCCGGAGTGAGCGAGGGACTGTAGAATATGAGACAAATGACTCTTGAGGTCCGCCACCTCTGTCTTCAAAGCAGTCACCTCTTCATTTGACTCTGATGATTCACGGGGTCTAGGTGGCCGCTGCCTGGCATTCCCCATCCCTCGACAATATGTCCCTGAGCGCCTCCCGAGACTCTGATCCAAGGTTTCAGTCAGGATTTGAAACCCTGCATCTGATGGAGGAACCACGGACTCGAGCGGCGTATCGGGAGGAAGCTGGGAGGCGGACTCCTGAAGAACCAACTGGCTCCTCTCAATCATAGTCGTCTGTTGAACATAACATAAAATATGAATTAAAACATTCATATAATAACTATAAAAACTTGAACGCTTACATAATAATTTAAA